TTAATTCTAAAATACTTCTAATAACTGAAGAACTTTACAAATGTGAAATGTGTGTAATAAGGCTTACATATGAAATACAGAAACCACAATCAGAATATTTTAACATCTGTAAAACTGGGTATAGCTTTGTTAACTTTGTTTCATATTATTTGTTTTTCTTAATTACACATAACTCAGATTAGCTGTAAAATTTCACATTTATTGTATTGAAAAACATGTAAACCAGCAAGGTACTGAGGCTTGACATGGCTTCTGACAGTTCTGTACTATGTAACTAAATACCGTATAACTGAACTAATTGCAGGTTTTATTGTTGTCTGTAAATACATAATCTAGTATTGTTTTCTTACATAACATATCCAGCATTTGCAAAGCTACTTCAAAGAACATTTTCTGCAGTTTTGAGCTTTTTAAATCTGATCTTAAGTATATAAAATATGTTGATTCACAGGATTCTTTGCCCAATGAACCCCTCTTTTTCCTCTAACTGAACTCTGTCCTAAGTCTATCAGCCATTAATACTTCTGAGTGATCCATCTCTTAACGTTTATTTCTGAGAACTGTTACCAATTCAGAACAGAGAAGATCTGTCTGTTCACTTAGGGCACCTCTCCCAAAAGACCTGATCTCTGGAGTTTGACTTTAGTACAGATTTCAGTTCTTATCCCAGACCGTGGTCTGCAGCAGTGAGATCTTTTTTGCTGCTAAAACTAATGTGTTTCAGAGAGTTCTAATAATGTAATTTCCATGGCTGCTAAACACACACGTTTCTTCCCTTAGTTCAGAACTGAAGGAGCCTCAGCTTTCTCCTAATTATCTTTGGTTAGTTTGAAATGAACTCATGGATCATAATGCCCAATTTAGGAGCAAAAAGAAGAATAAGACCTACATGGAATTTAAAGAACGATTCTTTTTTTTTTCAGTTGTTTTTCATATTGTTTACAATAAGAACCTGTTTTTAAAAATTGTGTATTTAGCCGCTGTGACTGCAAACATATCTTTGAATTTGGAGAAGGTCTAATATATGTTTTAAATGTATGCCTAGCTCTACACAAGCACGCTTTCATATGCCATAGTGACAGCATTTATAGTTGCACACACTTTTGAGTGCTGCACAGTTTTGAAAGTTGGGTGTCTCCCCTTAAGAGTGTAGTGTATTTAAAAATGTGACACCAGGTCCCGCACAGTGATATGTGAAAATGCTGTGAATGGGCAGACTTTTTTCAGGTGCACTTATAAAAGTAAAACGAGGCCCCTCTGCAGATTCCTGGATTGCATTTGGAGCGTTCTTATTTCTTCCATTCTCTTTTTCAGGATAATCGGTCAAGGGCGTTCTCTGTTGAAGTTTTTATTTGCAGAAGATACTGAAGGAAGTTTTTATTAGCCAAACTGAAATGCTGAACAAGCAACAGAACCAAAACAGCAAAATAATTACAAAAAAACCGCGACATTTTGTTGGCTGATAGCAATGTTGTCACTACTGTATCTTTGGAGTTTGATTGGAGTTAATTATTCTCTCAATGGAGAAAGGAGCATAGCTTTTCCTGAATCAACAAATGGGCAGCCTTTTCCATGGAACCAGTTAAGGCTTCCAGGCTCAACAGTTCCAATCCGTTATGACCTTCTCATTCACCCCAACCTGACCTCATCAGTGTTCACAGGCACTGTGAAGATCGAAGTCACTGTAACACAGGAAACCAGAGCTGTAGTCTTGCACAGTAAACATTTGGAAATCACTAAAGCATTTATTGAACAAGAAAATGGAAAGGGCCAAGCAGATATTAAACAGCTACAAGTTTTAGAATATCCTCCTCATGAGCAAGTTGCCTTTCTGACTACTGAACCTCTTCAGGTGGATAAGAACTATTTCCTTTCAATTAACTATGTTGCCAGTTTTTCAGATGGCTTCTATGGGTTCTATAAAAGCACCTACAAAACTAGGGATGGTCAAACACGGTAAGCAAAGAATATAAAAGTTTTCACACAATAAGATTTCTTACATTAACGTTTGCATATGAAAGCTCTTCAAACTGGAAGTGTTAGTGTTCTGATAATGTAATATTATATTTTTTCAGCTTTTCCCAAGTTGCTTCCAAAGATGTATAGTAATAGAGGTAATAGTTTTATTTTACAGCCTGCCTGTACAGTCATAAAGCTGTAGTTGTTCACTTGTATAACACAGAAACAGCTTTTCCAGCACTTTTTGGAAAATCTCATTTTAAAAACCCTTAGTAAAAATAATATTTTTTTATTTTTTTGTTACGTAAAAAACTGTAACAGTCCAAAATAATTACTGTGTCTAAACAGAAACTGATATTTATTTACATGTGAATCATAAATTTTCATATATTACAAATGATTAAATGTATCTGTTGTAGCAAAATATGCATTATGCGTATGGGTTTTTTTATGATTAATAATAATGATAGGTAGGTTATCCATGTAGGTGTTCAGAGAGAAAAAGAGAGACCAAGACAGACCAGTAGAACTAATTCTTAAATTATGTGTAGCTGATTCACTTTTCACACAAAATCTTGCCCCCTAATCTCAATGGCAATCTCTGTTACCATTGTTTAGAACATTAATACTAATTTTTTCATTTGGTTGTTGTATAAAATATGAAGTCAGATCAATGGAAATTTTACTTGCTAGTCAAGAATTGTTGAAAATTCATAAACATGGGCTCTTCTCAATCATTGTTTTACTTTTTTACCCTTCATAAGTGAGACTATAAATATTACAGTCCAAGAATTTTTCTTATGCACCTGTGTGGCTAGCTAGGCATGACCTCTCTGTCAGAGTTTAAAAGCAATTACATAAATGTTTCAAAGGCAGGAAAAGATTTAGTTATACCTGTTGCACTTCTGTTTTCTTCAGGGTTTTCTCTGCCCTTAATCTTTCCCTCTCTCACAGTATCTTCAGTGCATCTGCACTCTGGACGTGCTCTTCTTTTCCTTCTTTTCTTTACAAGTACTTCTATTTCCTTTTAGCCAGTTCTATCTGAGCTAAACATGTACTCATTCAAAACCATAGAAATAGCATGATATTTTCTTTAATCTCACAATTTATTTAATGTTTTTTATAAAATCCCTTTTACTGCTTCCCTTTCCTCATTTCCCTTGCCTTTCTGAATGATAAACTCCCCCACTCCTCCATGTTTGTAGCACAGTATGACACTATGTTTGGTTGATCCGTAGGCCCTACCACTAGAAATAAGTTCATTAATGTGATCGGATTGCATGTGACTCTATTAAACAAAAGTTGCTTCAGTAGCAGCAAGAACACCTGTTTGGGTACACATACTGCTGAAGTCGAAGCATCGAACTGAGGAATCTGGGATCTCCCTGTAGTCAGGGAAGAGGAAACGTTTTAAGAGAACGACTCAAAGTACCTAAATAAGGCATGATTTAAATCATTCTGTGGAGGAGGCCAGTTCTCTCCATCAGCTATGAAGGGAGCCAGCTGCCCAACTCAGTGAGATGCCTAATGCTGAGTGATAGATCCTCTGACTAAAATATTGCTCCATGTGTGTCACCACTTTAGCCATTTTTGAAACTGGCTCAGGAATAAAAATATCATGACCCGGACTGCTTTAGGATCAGAGGATCTGTGTATGGTGGTTTTAGGAAATTCTGACAGAAATGTGCCTACCAAATGCTTTGCAGTGCTTCATCATTGCATAGCAGTTTAGGTTTCCTCTACCCAAACAACCTTTTTTAATAGTCTTTAATTTTGATGATGATTGTGCTATGGTTTATCAGCTTGCTGTGGTGGATCAAAAAATACTTCCTTAAAAAAATGTGCGTGCTTTCTCTGTTCTTCCAGGTTGCTGGCTTCTACTCATTTTGAACCAACTGCGGCCCGCACGGCATTCCCGTGTTTTGATGAGCCATCCTTTAAAGCCAATTATACAATAAAGATTCGGAGGGAAGAGCAGCATATCGCAATATCTAATATGCCAAAGGTGATTTTTGGGGGGTTTAATCTCAACCCCTTTAACTTCCTGGCATGTCTTCTTACTGAGCCATGTGGGGTGAAGTATATAGCCGCACTATATTGTGCAAAGGACTGTTTTATGCCTGGCTTTTACACTGCCCAGTATTCTGAATATTAGAAAGCACTTACTACTTTCTAATGGATGAGAGAGAGTTAATTTCGGTCTAAATGACTGAAACTATTTTTCACATAGATTCTTCAACAATTCTTCAGTAGCGTGAAGAATTCTCTGCTGAAGTATATTGGGGATAGAATTTTTTTTTTTACCTTTAGCAGCATCTGTAGTCATGTATGCAAAGATAATCTCATTACCTGTGTTAGTAGTCAGGCCAAAAATGATCCCTTCTGGCTTTAAACTCTGCGTAATATAAACTTTACAGAATAATTGATTGTTAGCAAGGGGTAGGATATCTCTTTTTCTCCTTTACACAGTTACACAGTACTGCAGAAATATCTAATGGTCTTCTTTTGAATAACAGGAACTTTCCACAGTTACAGCCTGCAGAATAAAGATCTGCTGAACTAACTTGTCAAATCATGTTGAATTTTGTCTGTATTTGGCTTTTAACCACAGAAAAAGATTGCAAGGGAGTGAATTAAATGGTGTACCAGCACTTGTCTTCCAAAGCTCACCTTGTGTTTGTCTTCTTGTCTTCATGCTGATGGTGTCTTGAGTGCTGCTGTAGTAAAAAGTTGAAAAAAATTTTTTTAAGGTATTTTATTTAGAAGAAAAACTGAGTATAATATGTATCATTGTTTTCTTAGGTAAAGACCTTGCAACTAGGCAGCAATCTGTTTGAAGATCATTTTGCAGAGACTGTAAAAATGAGTACCTATTTGGTGGCATTCATAATTAGTGATTTCCAATCAATCAGTGGTACAACTTCATCAGGAATTGTGGTAGGTTTAAAGATGATTGACATTTATTTATAAAACTTTCAGGACAAGTCAGATGTGAAATTGTACATATCCTGCATATCAACTTCTATCAACATCTTTAGCCTTCTGTATCTGTTCTATAATAGTTTCCAAAATATTGGTCGTTTTAAGCCAAGAAATTATTACTAAGGTAAACCAGAAGTCTCCCCATTATGGAATTCTAAGTTTAAAATAGATGGGAAGAACAGCTCTGAATGTATTTGGGAACTATTGTTTAGGGGGAAGTTTACAAAGGATGAAACCAGTCAGCTCCATAAAAATGACTGTAACGTTGCTATAAATGTTAGAGAATGTCTTCTCTGCTTCATAATTTTGTGACTACAAAATCTGTAAATTTATAACTATAATCAGCTAGATGTCAGTTACTATGTTCTTTATTAAATTCCATCAGCCTGTTTCATTAACAACTGAGAGATTAAATGGTATCTTGGTATCGGAACATTCTGTTGTAAACTGCTGTCAAGGAATATTTTCAGCTGTAGCAGAAGAAAGTAATTTCCTTCCTCCTTGGCCCGAGAGGGATAGAGTATCCTGGCTACGAAGGAAAAGATGAGTTGGAAAGAATCAAGAACGTGAGAGAAAAGGAGATCACATGATAAAAATCTAAAGAAGTATAACCCTCACTTTTGATGCATGACATTATTAAAAGGGATATTCCCAAGACTTTGAAAAAAGATGAGAGGGATCTTGGTGCAAAAAATACATATATGTTCAACTGATGAGTTATCCATTTCTCCCTCCGTGTTACTCTCTCTCTGGACAGTACAGAAGGCTAAAATTTAACTACATCATTAGTATCTGTGTGTCTATCATGGTTTGTACTCAGATGAAAGAGGCTTTAAAATGCAAACCTTCTAATAATCTGTGCATAACACCTTTCCAAAGTAATCAGTTTCTTTGGTGAAAAATTTGGAGTCAAACTTGTGGTTAGAAATGCAGACTGCTATTGGGAGGTCACATAAGTGCTTGTCTGCATTACAGAAGATGGAGAATGTGAGTGGGAATGTACATGCATGTTCTTGTTTTGTAGGCATGTTCTCATTACTTTGTGGGTTCTGGAGGCATTTTTCATCTGGCTAGAGGAAGATGATGTAATTTTTCCTTTTGTTAAAAGAGACGAAAAGCTTCTCGACAACTTTTACAGGGCTATGTTTGAGCTGCTATTGAAACTCTGTTTATCTAACAGGTATCTGTATATACCAATCCAGAGAAGCTGACTCAAGCCCACTACGCACTGGAAGTTGCTGTAAAGATACTAGAATTCTATGAGCAGTATTTTGGTATCTCTTACCCACTTCCGAAACAAGGTAAAGAGTTGAAAATAGTTCGATAACTATGCCTGATAGGAAATGCAGGAGGTTATGTGTTGCTACTTGTTATTTATGCAGTATCTAGAATAAAGTCATTATTAAAAGTATGAAGATGCAATTTTTGAGTCACAGCAAACTTTCAGTCTAAAAAGACAAAACAGAGAAGAAAGATGAGGGAAGTGATAAAATAAAATATATAATTAATATTCTCTTACTCCTACTATTTTTTTTAAGATTTTTTTTCTATTTCAGAGGGTCTTGTGAATGTGTGGTCTGTGTTAGAAGTGGGACAGAGAGCAAATGACATCCTTAAGCAATAAGTTATCACAGGGATTCTTAAAAAAACTGTCATTCAAGGCCTATGACAGGTTGATGAATCCAGTAGGAATTTAACAAACAAAAGTAGTTAGAGGTTGGAGATAATCTGCTTTTGCATCTGGTAGTTTCTCTGAGAAGCAGCTGCTTCTTTTGGCAAAACTCCTGCATGTTTGTAATATACAGATACTGCACAACACAGGAAGATATTTTGCCTTTCATCATTTTTGACGGAAGGTTCACTGTGACGAGTTAACTCCTCCTTCTGTGACTGCTGGTTCCTTGAGGTTATCGAAAGTTGCTAGGTTGACTAAGCATGTTTTTAAGATAGAATTATTTACGTATTCATTGTTTTGAATGTATGGCAGTTCCTAGCCATAGTGGGCCTGAATCAGCTCCATTCCTGTTATTAGACTCACACTGAATTCAAGAGGCACTGAGCCAGAACGTTGGCGGGAATGTTTTTATTCGGTTGTTTACTAGAACTCAGCAATGATGCTGGAGTTCTACATATCAAAGTAGGTAACTATTTTTTTTTTCCCTCAGATCTTGTTGCTGTCCCTGACTTTCAGTCAGGAGCTATGGAAAACTGGGGCCTGACTACCTACAGGGAGACTTCTCTGCTGTATGATCCAGAAGCATCTTCGGCTTCTGACAAACTTTGGGTGACCATGGTGATAGGACATGAACTGGCTCATCAGGTTGTCCGGTTTTGATAATTTGTCATACGTATTCATCAGGACCTGGCATTATATGTATTATTGGTAACAAAAACACTGATTTTGTTTTGAAGATTTATCTCTGCATCCATTGAGTCATAGCAGTTATGTAACTATAGATCATCTTTCCTTCCTGGATGATAATGAACAGTGATGAGATGAATCTAGCCTTTTCCTGTATTAGCTCAGCATACTCCTAGGGATCACAGCTCAAGCTCCTTCTTCCATCACAGTAGAAAACACAAAGCATGTACATCCGTGAAGAACTTGTCCATGAAGTACTTGTCACTTATGAGTTAGTTACTGATCAAGTGAAGCAAACTATAAATGAGAAACTTAATACCACAATTCAGGAAGTTTGATGGCTAGTGACAACTTAACAAAAATTGCACTGACACTAGAAAAGAGTTTTCTATTGATTTGTAAATTAGTGTTATTTTAAGTTTCTAGTTGGTCTACTTGGAAGTATATCTATTAGCTATCATCGCTAATAACGATCTATAATTATAAGCTATACTGTGATAGCTAATACAGATAAATAAACTATTGCAGACAGAGGTATAAATGAGCCTAAAAATAGATACTTATCTTACTAGCTACTTCTTGAAAATAGTCCCAAAGCGTATCCCTAAACTTCTGGCAAAACCCTCTGAGTCTACTCCTGATGATAGTCCCCCTGACCCTAAAAGCACGGTTTAGGTTGGTGAGTTAAATGGTGCAGGTTTGCCAGCCCTGTTCTAGATGCAGTCTAACAGCCTAATGCTTTTCCATTTGGGCACAAGGTTAGGCTCACTAGAGTAGACTCAGCTAAAATTGTTCTTTTGGTCCTTTTGGATCTGAGGTTTGTGAAGACAAATCGATTTGAGAGTTTTTTATGTCTTCCAGCACAGGTATTCCCTGTATCATCCATTTCTATTTTTGAAAATTTCAGGTGGTCTTCCTCTAGTGACTTTCTGAATACTGTACTGTACTCCAGATACTATCCTGGGGCCGGGGGGAGAAGCCAGTGCTAAGATTGATATGATAATATGCTACATAGGAAGGAGCTCTGAACACGTTTGTTCAAGGCTTTTCCTGCCTTATTTGACGGAAAAGAGTTTTTCCGTCTTGAGTGGATTTTATCTTTTGGATATTAGTTGTATGAAGTATTTTTTTTTATTCTCTTAGCAGAAAATCATTGTTCTGCACACAAACGCGTGCGTTGCATGTGCACACACACACACACACACACACACACACTCTTGTTATACCCAATAAAGCCTGCTTTAAATCCTTTGTATATTCTTTAGCTGCTGCTGAATATGTATGTTGATCTGTTTTAGTGGTTTGGTAATCTAGTCACCATGGAATGGTGGAATGACCTCTGGCTCAATGAGGGGTTTGCAAGATACATGGAATTCATATCTGTTGATGCTACATATCCTGAGTTGCAAGTGGTCAGTATGACAGATTAAAATCTGTTGAATTTTGTAGTTAAAGATGCTTTTCTTGAACTAAATCTGCAAATATTGCTCTTGAAAATTTTCCCAGAATGACCATTTGTTAGATACCTGCTTTGCAGCAATGGGAAGAGATGCTATGAACTCGTCACGTCCAATATCTTCAAGAGCAGAAAACCCAGCACAGATTAAGGAAATGTTTGATACTGTTTCTTATGACAAGGTGAGTTTGTTTCATATATAAGGGTGTTTTTTCAGTTAATAGCCTTTTTTTGACTGCTAGAAATGACAACAATGACCCTGGCTTAGATACAGACAAAGTGAAAGGGAAATTTGACATGGAAATATTATTTAAAAGGTTGAGATTAAAATAGATTACATCATGATGAATTTCCAACAGGAGATGTTAAACATTCACAATTTACACTGTCACACTGTGAGCAAGCACCATTCAGGGTCACTGAAGGAAAAAAAAGATGCTAGTGGATGTGGAATTTCCATACTTACTCTGAAACATTGTAATTAAATGCTCTTATACAATAGTCAAAGTAATTAAAGTGCTTTCATTGTTTAATTTTATTCTGTATAATAGAAATAGAAAAGATACTTCTGTTAGGAGGAAGAGACTTCAAGTCTTGGCTTCAGATGTTCTAAAATATTATCTTCTTGTTTCAGATTTTCTCATTTGGTCTGTATTTATTTGTCTTGTTACCCATAATGTTATGATACGCACCAACAAATTATTCTGAATAGTTTTAATCTGTATATTAAGGAAACTAAAAAAATTAGCTAGTTGTAAAATGGTGCTGTACCTTATTGAATTTATATGGCTACATAGCTGAAGTCTTTCTGCAGCACCTTAATGAAGAACATTATTTTTTACTGGCCTGATGACATATATCTGTAAATATGAAGAAAAAAATGACTGTAAAAAATGCTTTTGAATTTAGATCTGCTGCTGCATACAGAAAAATGGTCATGCTTGCTTATATTCAGTGAGGTGGGTTTATAGCTACAACTTTCATGTTGCCTAATCAATTTTGTACTACTTCCTTAGCCTGCTTCCATTCTCACATAGTCCTTGAATTAGGCAAAGCTATTGCTAAAACCAGTTCGTCCATGCAGGAGTCAGTCTGGTATCTCTTGGATGTCCTTCTCGCAACCACAAAGCTTCATCACACAGAACTTCAATTTCAGAGCTTCCTCATAAGTGCTTTTGCTCCGTGAAAAAAAACGATGAGCATGAGATAATGCCTTGATCTCGGTTCCCGTTTATTCAACATTTGAATGGTTATTAAAATTCTCTGTTTGTTTTAGTAGCTTTGCATTGTCCTCCAGTGTAGCTCTAGCTGTTTCAGAGACACGGGAATTTACATCTTGATCTCACTGTGGTCAATCTGTGTGTGTAGGGGGCTTGTGTTCTGCATATGCTAAGGAACTTTCTGACTGAGGAGGTGTTTCGGAATGGAATAATTCGTTACTTAAAGAAACACAGCTACAAAAATGCAAAGAACAAGGACCTCTGGGACAGCTTGGCTAATGTAAGTTCCCTTCTGCTATTTTAATTGATATAATTCACAGTAGTAAACATGAGTTTGGGAATCAGCTCATTTTCTAAGCAGACAGCACGCCCAAAGCCTGTGCAGTTTAAATACTGTGTAAGTTTTGTGTTGAGAATATAGGTGGTACACAAATTCTGTTCTTGAAAGCAGATTTCACCTCTCATCTTTGTTGCAATTTGTGTCACAAAAAGCTGATCAGAACGTAGTCATTGTAAACTATTACTTTGAATATTTTACTCCATGTCTCTGAAAGACATAAAATATTAAAAGTTTGAGCAGCAGATTGGCTTGGACATTGGACAGGAGAGCGTTCCAGAAGTGAACGTCACATTTACTGTGACAAATTCCTACTGAAGTTAGCACCTTGCAGGATTTGGCTGCAAGTGTGGAGCTGAGACGACAAGTAGATCCTTTCTGCTTTGTATCTGACAATATGAATTGAAACATTAAACGCAAAAAAATGAATTAAATAGATTCAGCTCAGTCCTGTAGACTAGTAGGGCAGTAATAATCTCAATACAAGTTCTAATTCAATGGGAACCATTGCAGTGTATCAGACAGTGGATGGTTCCCATTTTGGAGAAAATAGCAATTGATGCAAGTGGTTGTTGCAGTACTGTTCATGTTTTGAATTTATTATATCATTTTATTACAAAAACCATCACACAAAGCATGGAGTGTAAACAAGGAAGCTTGTATAGTCTAGGTCTTAAGTCAAAAGCTACAAATAACAACCCTAAGATAATAAGCTAGTTTGATAGAATGAAGGTCATATAGGTCCTCCATGGATAACGGAAAGACACTGGGCCATATTGGATTAATCAAGGCTAATACAGTGACACTCATTTTAACTCATCTGATGTATCTGAGGCATCTTGAGTACATCTCCACTGGCTTAACTGAAGTAGCCCAGATTTGCTGGACTACATATGTAATAATGTAAACCTATTTGTTTTCATGAAAAGGTGAGCACCTTCACCTATTTTTTTCCATAGCCTAATCAGTAAGCGGAAATCCATCAATATATTCGATTCGTAGACAAAGTAACCTAATAACGATGTGTCACATTTGGTATATCCAAAATTCAAAGGGAAGGAGCTATTCACTGTTTGATTCTGATAGCAGACAATAACATCCATGTCATTAAAGTAAATTCAGATTTTTAAAACTTGATTTTTCATAGATATGCTTATATCTGTAGCTGATAATGTATCTAATTATAATTATCAAGACAATGGCTAGGTAGAATCAAATAAAAAAAAAAGCTGAGCAAATATAATGCAAACAGCAAAGTATGGCAAGGCTTTATTTTCCACAAGGGCTATATTTAAAATAACAAACTAAAAGAAGAAAAAAACCTTATTGTGGTCCTCAAAATCTGTAAAACCTGTAAGGATTATGCCAAAGATTAAATTGTGTTCTAACCAATTCTGGGAAGTTTGGTTTATTAGTACTGTTAGTCTTACTCATATTAAGAAGCCTGATTCATAAAAAGTATGTTGGATTCGGTCTGCAACTAAAGTCTGCCTAAGGAATTGCAAAAGAGAAGTCAGAACACTCAAAGCTTAAATTGCTCATGAGAAAGTAGAGAAATTGGAAAAGCAGAGGCAGTTGTGAAGGCAAGATTGAGAAGAGTGGGACCAACGTTAAATGGTAATTTGATGATGACAGGCCTGAATGCTACTGAGTGTAGAAGAGTACACTTTTGAAGATGACTATTCATAATAGATAATGATCAGAAAAAGGAATATTTCATATTTTTCAGGGACAGTTTCAGCAGAAGGATTTGAAAATAAGCTGTGGGCATATAAGGAAGGGCAATAGTTCATCTTTTCAGTAATACTTACTTTAAGGGGTTCATGCAGGTTGCAGTGTTTCTTATACTCAAGAATGGTTAGCACTAAAAATGTGAAAATAGTAAAAATAGTAAAGAAAATAGTAGAAGATATTTTCAATATGACTCGTTGATCCTGTATTTTACAGACTTGTTCTGAAGAGGATTTTACTTCTGGTAAATACTGTTACAGAAAAAGTCAGGCTACTCAAAATGTAGTGAGTACATGCATTGCTTTAATTTTATTCAATTTCTCTCAAAAAGAATAGGTTGTTGCAGTTCTTTTTAATATAACCATGATCATTGATATAAATTGAGCAGATCCTTCATACTGTATATTTCATTGAAATGATAACTGCAGGGTGGAATAAAATTACAAAACTGCTCTGGAATCTGTGTCTGTAAGAAAATGGGATCTCTATCTCCAGTTGCCATATCAGTTGGGAAAACGTTGAATAAAAAACCAAACTGCATGTACTTGTTCAAGGTGAAAAAAGAAGCTCCAAGAACATAAGAATACGGATGAAACTTCAAAAACTCAATGAGGTCTACTAGTTAATTTAAGACTTCACTGAACTCTTCTGTGAAATATCATTGCTTCATAAGACTGTAGCCACAAAAAGACATTGGCAGTTAACTGTAGGTTTTAACGCAGGTTACACAGTACTGTCCCAGTCTGGAACATAACAGCCATTTGAAAAAAACTCAAATTAGAACAAAAACACACTTGTGTGTGTGTACATTCCTGAAACCTCAAACTGCCTTAATTATATTGCTAATGGTAACACACTGTTATAAGCAAAAGAAAATAATTTCATTTAATTGCTGCCTTTGTGCATGAGCAAAGAAAAGTCACATATTTAACCTGTAGAGCTACTCAAGTGGAAGTCCAGGGGGGAAAGCTGAAGCGAGTGTGTCATGCCATGAATTCAAAGAGATCTTGTTAGGTATGGCAGAGCGGGACAGTGCTACTTTATCTTGAAAATGTTACATGTGAGCTTTGCTGATGAAGGGCCCTCAGCCTTTTCAGAAAATCTGTAGTTCACCTTTGTCTTTTGTTTTAATTAGGAGAGACGCATAACTGTGGAGCAGAAGATGACGCCAATTCACTTCTTACTGCAATGGGTTCAGATTAATGTTTTTTTTTTTTCCTGACTTACTAGTGTAACAGAGGATAATCAGTTTTTATGTGTTACTCTCACTATATTTACTTAAGTATTTCAGGGTTTTTCTTAGATTCTGTGGAAATGACTAAAATTTTACAGCAGATGAGTGTGTTCTTTTTGATTGCTGACGCTGTCTGATAACATTATCTGAAGAGAGACAGGAAACACTGAGCAAAAAAAAAAAGTTTGTTTTGTTTTGCATTGTTCTCAGTATGACTATTACTTCAGTGAACACTTTGATGTTGCCAAGATAATGGATACCTGGACTGTGCAGAAAGGACTTCCATTGATTATTGTTGAACAAAATGGGAAGAGAATCAAAATAAGACAAGAACGCTTTCTGAAGGGCATTTTCCCAGATGATCCTCAGTGGTCCTCGATGCAAGCTGGGTAAATGCAGGGACTTTATCAGGGCATTTGTGAAAAGTATTGCAAATGTTTAAAAAACTATGGACATTTCTCATTTTGTTCCTTTCTACTTCTTAGGTTCCTGTGGTATATTCCTTTGACATACATCACAAGCCATTCCAAAAATATTGGAAGACATTTAATGAAGAATCATTCAGGTTGCAGATTAATTTATCCTGTTACCTGCTACCATGTGCTGCCCTCTTCTTATTGCTCCTGCTTACTGAATCTGGGAAAAGTAGCTGATTTTTCCATTCGGTGGCTGAGCCAGGAAAGTAACACGAGTTCTGAGTAACCTAAAAAAGTTTTGTATTCTTATGGGAACAGACATGGTCAAATGAGATCATTCATTTGGGTTTGTTTCATTTTAAAATCCTTAAGGCTAAATTTAAACTAAATTTAGTCACACGAAAATTGCATGTTTTTCACTGTTAGGCAAATTAACTTTGTTTAAAAACCGTGCTCAGTTCTACTGCATGTAACGCAGTCTTTTTAGTTTTCATTTAGACTACAGCCGCCAGAAATGCCACAGCACAACCAGCATTACAAGGAATTATAGAGCACTGCCACAGATAGAAGACTTAAAATCTTTTGCCTTCCCTATTGTCAACTGGAAATTATGGTGAATTGCTTTGGAAATTCCATACGATTCTTTCTTGGATACCATTCTAGAACAGATGCAAGTCTAGATTTTTTTTCTCATTTCAAAAGTTGTTTCTCACTAGACAAACAATTCTAAACTGCTCAAAACTGGGTTAAAGCTTTAAAAATGCCCATGTACACAAGTGCAGACATGATACTATAATTGGTGAGCATTCTTATATTCCGTATTAGGAGAACTTGGTCAAACTTTTTTCATGTAGTCCTTATCGGTGTAGAAATTTTTCCCTAAGGATGAGGCCTTGCTGGTAAGCAAAATCCTTAATACTATGGCTCTGCAAGTCTGTGAACAGGACTGGGAGGTCAAAACTCCAGGTTCTAACAAGGGCATCTTGCGCCGTAGTTTATCCATGCTGGGGACATGTTCTATTGTCTATGCCAAAACACAAATCCCTACTTCCTGGTGTGACAACACAAAAGATTTGGGTGCAGCAACATTTTCAGAAGACTGGTCCTAACAACTACATTTCAAGGGGAAGTTTAGCTTCTGAGTGGTTCCTGTGCTATAATGACATATTTGCATCATCACCAAAGACACATTAGTTAGTGTTTCTTAAGTCTGAGATACTGTATTAGCTTCGCCTGCACAAGGTAAAAAAGTCCCCTTCTTTGTGCCAAAATTTGTTCTGTGAATCGCTAAAGATGCTAATGAACCAGGTGAGTAAAATATTTCCTGCTACTTCCCTTTCTTAATCAACATGAAGCTATTTGCTTTATTGTTTGGCTACTTTAAAAAAAAAGGCTGTGAGATTAAAAAGCTCAGCTCTGTGCATATGTGTGCATCAATGTCTTTTTAAGAGACTAGTTTAATTGCTACTAATTAAAAGGACTTCAAAAGCAGTGCCTTGCAATCTTCCTGTACATTTCAGATCACTTTTTTTGACGTATAAATGCCCTGATGCATGTTAGGAAATACCACTAAGTATGTTTGTTTAATTGTTTTAAAAATGTTCTTCCTGCTGCTAGATACCATAGAATTGGAGGAAGGTATCAGCTGGGTGAAATTCAATGTGGACATGAATGGTTATTACATAGTACACTATGAGGGAAACGGATGGGACAACATTATTAAGCTATTGAATGAGAATCACACCCTCTTCAGCTACAAAGACAGAGCAAATCTGATCCACAATGCTTTTCAGCTGGTCAGGTACTACTGGTTCTTCCTTAAAACAAAAGCAAGAAGTTTGTAGCCCCCTAGATCCTGACCATGATGTCAGAGTGTCCAAAGTCTGAAGAATCTTAGGCCCTAGAAGCAGGCTTTCTTGAGGATAGTTACCTTTTCTCTGGCCAATATTTTTCATCCTCTGGTTTTTGAGAACTACTATGAATGCTAAATCTCTCTCTTAAATTCAAGACCCAGATCTACAGGTTGCTGATGCAGCCGTCCGTTTCTTTGTTTCTTCCACATGAGATCTGTGTAGAGGGCAGGATGATGAGTACACAGGGAGGTTCCACTCCCATGTGTACACCACCCAGGATATTTTTCTCTTTAGATAATAAACGTTAACGACTTCAGGCCATCCCCCACCCTCTTACCATGTGTGATTAGAAAGACACTAACTCTATTTAAACTCTCTCTTAGCGCAGGCAGACTATCGCTAGACAGAGCCTTGGATCTAACGCGGTATCTCCAGCATGAGACAAGTAACATAGTACTTCTGAAAGGCCTGGGCTGTCTGGAAGTGATCTATCGCATGATGGAGAGAAGAAATATTTCTGATGTCACAGAAAGTCTGAAGGTTCATATTTGAGTCCTGAACCATGTAACATTTTATACATGCATTTACTTGATTGTTTATTTACTCATTAATGTAATCTGCATTTGTTTTTACTGATACTTTGTAGTGACAGAGAGCACATTCTCTGCACTTCAGAGAATGTGTTGTCCGTAATAAGTCCAACAATGTACATACAAAATGTAGAAATGCTGTTCTTTGAGTTGGGTTACTACTTCTACTAGAAATCCTAAATAGTCTTAATACAGCAAAAGTCATTACTTATAAATGAACACTACCATGTTCTCTCTGCAGTGGTACATTTTGCAGTATTTTAAACCAGTGATTGACAAGCAGACCTGGAGCGATGAGGGCTCTGTTTCCCAAAGAATGCTTCGTTCTGATCTTCTGGAGCTCGCATGTGACCTGCAATATCTTCCCTGTATCCAGAAGGCAAATGAGCTTTTCAGCAAGTGGATGGAAAGTGGTGCAAAGATAAGGTAAATAAGTTATTTATTTCTTACGGTTCCTTTTTGCTCAAGTTGCTTTTACTCTACCCTGAGATTTGATTTTTACAACATGGACTTCGGAAGAAAAGCAATTTCCCGTAAAATCTATGGAAGTATTTTCATTACCTGAAATGAAGCAGCATCCAAAAGCCATGTATTCTAGTGTGTGTGTTAAAATGTCGGTTTATTCAGTGTAGTTCCCTGTCCCTTGAGGTTTTCCTTGTCATTTGAGGTGCCCACATAAACGTTTTGGAATCTGTGCTGCATGAGCTAACACACCACAGTTTCTTAGCTAGGGTGCCAGATACAAGCTCTTTTTTTTAGATCTAGAATTTCTGGGTCTTTTTCTCCATTGCTGAAAACCCATGAAGAGGTGTTACATTATAGCAACACAATATAAACATGATCTGGTTGTTCCCGCCTGTTTCATTCTTTCGGTTACCTAAGTGCTCATCTTATTCTTCATCTTGCATATTGTCCTAGTTAAGAGATGGAGTCTTACTGAGTCAATCGAAAATCCTTTGTTGAAATACTACTTATCTACAAAGAATACACAAGGTCTATTATCCGGACTATAGGAAAAATATAACAGGAGGCAGTGAGTTTTATCACCATTCCAAGCAATGGCATGAAACAGTTTGTTGATCCCTACTTTCCTGTGAAGCTACTCAATGGTTCCTACTAAACGGAACTGCCATCCTCTTAAATGGTGGATGATAGTTATACTTCTTCCAGTTCCAGCAAGACTTAACCTGACCTCTGAAACTGATTCTGGTGTGGTTCGTTGTGTGAAAAGTTTTTCATAAACATAGAAGGAGCAGTGTGCCCTGAAAAACTTGCCCAGAATGAGAATACAATGCTGCACTGGGATAGGAGACTGTTGCATCCACATACTTTTGATGATTTCAAGTGAACTCCATAGAAGAGGAATATCTGTGGCCCACTGCAAGATCAGGACTTGCTGCTTCTGTGCAGTTTGTTTCTTTTCCCCATTATTTCTGAACATATGTGACAGATGTTTGTTGATCTTCTTTCATCACTGATCTGTACCTTACCAACTTCTGTCATCTATCAAAAGGAAAAGCAAATTAGTTACATCTCTTACCTTGTTCCAGGACATGGCAAGGTTCATATGCATCAAGAGATGTATTATGCAGTGCTTCCCACATCTGTTGACATTTTAGTACTGCTTGATTTGTGTTACATGTATTGGAGAATTATGACTGAGTTCAATAGTGTGCCAGATTGGGCAGAAACATAATTTCTGCAGGTTCAGGATCATCCATTGTAAAATTTCAGGGCAGAAATGCATCTATAAAGTACCTTTTTGTCATGCTAGATTAATAGCAAGACTACTTTAAAACTAGAGCATCAATCATATTTAATTTAAAAATGAGGGGAACTTCTGTACGTTACAGTGAGATAATTACTGTGGGAAGATTTACCCCCTTATACTTAACATTTTTTCCACTGTTTTTCAGCCATGAAAAATACTAAATTACAACTCCAAATGAAACTTTCTTTCTTTCCTGCTTAGTAACATTCCCTCTGATGTCCTTGGAACTGTGTACTCCGTTGGAGCAAAAACAGCTGCTGGCTGGAATTTTCTTTTGGATAGATATAAAGTGTCCATATCTGCTGCTGAACAGAGAAAGATCTACTCCGCTCTGGCAAGCAGTAAAGATGTTAGTAAATTAACAAGGTAGGAACCATTCCATATGAATTATTATTTACTTCCAGCTTGTACTGGTGCTCCATGCACTGCAGCTTGGGTCTTGTGAATCTCACTAACTTATTTCCAGTGGATACATGATCTTTGTTACTGTCTGAGACACTTTAGGGGTGAATACAGCCTGACTGCTGAGCATGAAAGGAAAAATTCTAACATGTGGAATCTCTTTAAAGGATAATAACAGATGTTATTCCTTAGTTGAGTTCTTCACTTTCATAAATATATGTTGCATTTATCTATATTTTCACTCCCAGACTTTCAGCATGATAATTGGAAAGTTTAAGAAATACAAGGAGGGAGTGAATAAGTTTCTTCAATCAGTCTCCGTTAGCTTATTCTGCTACAGAGAAATGATTCATAATTGATGGTAGATTAAGGAAAATCAGTATACCACTGCACTGAGGCCTTGAAATATCTGACTGTGCTTAGTATGTAGCTGAAAAAGACAGAAGTTAGATATAAATGTGTTCTATACGTGTAACTAATCAGTAAGTACTTCATGTTTGTACCTTAGCTGGGAGCACAATAGAGGCCTGATATTTGAAGTTTCTAAATGTATTCCCAAATGTAATTCTACAGTCTGACCTTTTCTTGCTTTTATAATGTGTTTTGATGCTATAGGTTGCTTGAACTTGGAATGGAAGGAGATATAATCAAGATTCAAGACCTGCCTTCCGTTATCTATTCAGTCAGCACAAATCCAGCTGGACAACGACTTGCATGGGACTTTGTAAAGAAAAATTGGAGCAGGCTACTAGAGAAGTTAGTATTTCTGTGGAGGGGGCAGAACCCCACTTGTGTTTACCTTGGAAACAACATAATCAGGACAAGGGTCTGAGAGTCAAGAATGACAGGCCTTAGCCTGGAGAAGCAGCTTGCTCCTTTGTGCCTCAGATTTCCATTCTGAAAAGGGAAGGTAATACTTCGCCGTCCCCACCTAATGATGGCTCAAAGGTTTATGTCACAGTGAAACAAGTGCTGACTATGGCGTTGTTAAAGTAGCACTGGCAAATATTTCTCATGTAAAAATTTCTTAACAGAAGTCGGTTACTTTTTTTTTCCCCAGTACTGTTTCAAGTTCAGCATCACTGACAGTTGCACAGAGGTGAAGTTTTAAAACTTTAAATAATTAGGAGATGAAACTTTAACCCTGAGTTGTAGAGAAATAACTTCCACGGGTATGTGCAGCAATAACAGTTTGGGGAAGCATCTTGGGAAGCAGGAAATCAGGGACAGTCCTTCCTGTTCTGTTTATGCATGATGCTGAAGATACATCACTTTTTCACTAACTCCTGAAACAGATGGTTCAGGATCCACTGGGCTACTGTTGTCTTCCCCACCCTCAAGTTGTATGTTCCTGCATCTTGTGTCAATGCTGGCAATAATGAGGTTGAAAACTAACAGAGAAAAAAAAAAAACTTTCCATTTTTGCAGTGCAGCCACACGTTCACTAGCAATAACACAAAGAAGTAAGCAGGGGTGTAAGGCTGGGGAACAGAAATGACGACAGTCTCTGTTGGCCGCGTGTGATCTTAGAGTCACATAAACTTATAGTGAGACAGTAGTTTTCCTAACCTTCTAAAAACTCCAGCAATAAGAATGCAAACAATTCTAAATAAGTTTTCCATGAAAGTCAGATGATAATGGGTGTATCTGGCTTTCAGGTGCAAAGCACTGCTGCACTCTATCCTTTCATATTCCAAGGCATGTGTGACCTAGAGACAGAACCTGTATGGCAGTCTGGAGAAGGATGAACCAGGTTGAGCGCGTGTGAACATGTAGTGCTTTCAGTGTTTTACATGTAGATAAACTTATATAACCTGTAATTTCTCTTTTTTTCCATCAGATTTCCCCTGGGATCCTTCTCTATTAGAATCATTATAGTTGGAACAACATCACAATTTTCTTCAAAACAAGAACTGGAAGAGGTTTGTCTGAATCTGAAAGTAAATGAGCATTTGGGTCAGGAAAGTGTAGCGAGAGGAAAATGGAAGGGCGTCTCTTAGCAAACCACCCAAAGACTCAAGCCAATGGAATAAGTAGGGCCCTCTGAAATTTGGAGAAATTTCTGTAGCTTAGCCTAGAATTTGACTGTCCTATCAAATTAGCTGTATGCTTAGTCTCCCTCATCATTTCTTTTCTTTCTCTTAGTATCAGTCTGTGTCTGTGCCTATCACCGTGTTCACTTTATCTCTTCCTTCAGCGTTCACTCTCATTAATTTCTCTTTCATTTTTAATTTGCACTTAGAATTTTCAAGCACAATGAAATTTGTTCTTTGCACTGAAAAAAGCATTGGGAAATGGACCTGACATTTGCCAGTCATATCACCTGCTCTACTTGGATGTTAAATCTCTTCTCCCACTTTCTTGCCTGTTTAGATTTTAAATTCTTTTTGAGCAGAGACGGTATCCTCTTGTATATTAAGGATTTAGGATTATGAGCTCCTTGGGAGAGAGGTCTTTATTTACAGTTTTAAATAAGGCATATGCCTCTGCCCCATGCGTAGTCCACATAGGACATGAATTCATTTCATTCATGGTTAGAAAAGTCATCCATTTAATCCAAGCCATCAGAGCTCGTAGTTTGGGCTTTGAGGCTTCGCTGTTCAGGTCTCAGTATGTTAGCCCAGCTGGATCCTGTCACACTTTAGCCGGTTGCAGTGGTAATAGCTTTACTCATGCCTTTAAAATGGCTTGTTGTGCTTGTTTATAAGCTCCGCTTTATAAGCTGAATTTTGTTTTGTTTTTGTTTTTTCTTTAATAGGTCAAGTTATTCTTTCAGTCTGTAAAGGAGGAGGTATCACAGCTGAGGGCACCTCAGATTGCACTGGAAAATATAGAAAAAAACATAAGATGGTTGGAAAGAAATGTAGCTGTATTAAGGAAGTGGCTATTAGAGAATCTTAAGTAAAGGTGCTTGAGTGAAAAATGGTGATATTTCTGAACGCAGATTTCCCCTCTTCCTTTAAAGAATTGCAGCTGATACTATACTTTACTCTTGCTAAGCGGTGGTATTTAGTTAATTAGAATGTTTCTATTTACTGATTGTTTTTCAACTTTTGGGGAAACTTGTTAATAGTACTTCATTTTGACTTTTTATGTGCTGCTGCTTAGAGCTTTAAGCCAGTTGAAAAAAATGTGTGGCTGCAGGCTCAAAATTATGTGTGTTTGTGTGCATGCCTGTTCTTGATTTCACAAAAGAATTGATACCGTCTTTGACAGTATCAAGGTAGGTTACATATATAATATGGCCTGATACTAAATTATTGCTGAGTTTGCCAGGCTTTGTGATCATGTGTGTTGCTTATTATCCATAAAAGAGATTTCCTGTTTCTTACTGAGCAGCTTCCCTTACGTTTGTGTCTTTAGTGATCTGAGAAAGACAGAACAACTTCTACCAAAGACTTCTACCAAAGACTACCTTTCAAATGCTTTGAAAGGTGCATCATGGGCATTTTTGTAAAGCCTTAGAATAAACGTGCTTCTACCTCTTATTTGAGATTTCTTTAACAAGGAAATTGCAGTTTCTTCTAAAACAAATTAACTATGAGTTTGGCTTAGAGATTAAAATACTGTTTCACTGATGGCAGCTGAGAAATTGGAGTAGTATATTGCTGTATGTTAGAGAATACTGGAGACCTGAGAGAACCAAAATACGGTTAAGATAGCTAACATAAAGCATCACTATCTCAGGGAAGCCAGTTTAAAGAAAACAGGGATCCTTTTGGTTGTTCCTTTAGGAGCTGAGCTTTCATGTGTGACTAGCTCGACCCCTAGAGATTGTCTCGCAGTGGATAGTAGAGACTAAGGAGTGGAGGATGGAAAGTTCCCTTGCACCATTGCTTTGCTATTTACTATCTCTGAGCTGCCTGTATTGTTGGTGGAGAGAGAAGGGTTTTCACGCTGAATTGCTCTCTCAGCTGCATAGGGGATTTTAAGAAACTTGCAAGCTAAATGACACGTTTGATGCTAAACAATGTAAATACCTTCTTGTGACCTGAACTGGAAGAAGGAGTGGCCTGAGAAGACATCTGCAGTGACCCTGAGAAAGGGGAAGCCATCTTGTTTTTCCCAGGAGGCTCAAAGCACTGGTCTGCAGTGCTCACTCAGTATGCAGTGAACAGTGCATCATGATGCATGAGGGACATTGTATTGTATGAATATGAAAACAATAGGGACCTTTCTGTCGTTCCGAGTAAGACCTCTCTTGTGAGTACCACTTAGGAGCGTTGTATTTTCAGGTCTGTTATTTTAATAAACCTTGACTGTAACACCTATCAATCTTAGTACGATTTAAGACAAATTATGTCTGAGCTTGCTACTGCAATAATGAAGAGGGGGAGGGGTGGAGGAAGATTTTCTGGCAGGCGCAAAGTACCTTCAGGATCTTTTAACCTCTGTTAGAATTGCCCATACAGGAGTTGCTTCTTGTAGCACTGGATCCTTTGGTTTTAATTGGGAGCAGAACCCACCCCCCTTTTCACCTTTGCATAATCTGGTGGGATAAATTAAGAGCAGAAAATTAATTTCAAATTCAGAGAACTCTGTTTTTGTGGAGCAAAGGAGTTTAATAGTGGACCTCATACTGAGGCAAAACTCCCGCTGAAGACAGTTACAGTCTTGACGACTTCTGTTCTGTTTGAAAGCTGCACGTCCTAACTGTCAGTGAATTACAGCGTCATGTATTAGAAAAAAATATCAGCACCATTTCTGTGTCAGAGTGGAAAGAGCAAATCCTACCTGTGCGAAGAGGAGTTCCATGTTGTTTGTATTACAGGATGCAACAAATTAAACGTTGCCCTTCTAAGTAGTAATGGGAGATGTTGCTGCATTCTGAGTCATGTTCCCTATATCCCTGTCCACCCAATATATACATGCACTGGTCCTTGCCTCTATCTCAACTATCAGTTATATCCAAACACATCTCAAACACACACGCGTATGGCCATTACTGCTGACTAGCAGTAGGACTAACTGCGTAGTAGTGGGACTAACTGATTAAAGTTGATGACTCTGGACATCATTTGTGTTCTCTTATTACATAAAACCACAATTTATCTCACCCACCGTATCAGCCATGCAGTTCCTCGACTACAGTGATTCTGCCCTTTGTAGTCCAAAAGCTTCAGGCAACAAAGCTAAGTGTTGAACGATATTGACCAAATATAGCCTGTGGAGAAATAGTGCTACTGCTAATTTTTTTTCCTTTTTTTCCTGACATTCAGTAGCATTCAGGAGCAGGCCTTTTAATTGCAGGATCCCTGGGGTATTCATATCGCCTTTTTCTTTGCACAAAGCCAAGCAAATGGCTGTCATTCAGTAAATACATTAATACACACAGTGGGATTCATGTTTTCCTTGCTTTGCAGCTTGGAGTTTTGAAGTATGTGGGTACTCAGTAGGAGTTAAGAGTTGCAACTGGAAAGAGTTTTTTCCTTTTACATGTCAATCACAGTGGACTACAGATTTCAAGAAATAAATGCTCTTGTAAACGATAGTATTTGTAAATGGACACGGGAAAAAACACTTGTGTATGACATGCCAAAATAGTTTACAAAGTCAAGCAGTTTGGGTTACCTGGGCTTTGTTTTCCATATAATGCTTGGAAAAGGCATTGAAAACAAATGGCAGCATTCAGTAATGAAACCACACATTACTGAAAGCTAGTTTGATTTTTCAAGCATAAACCAGTTAGTTATACAAGGTTATTGTCGTGACAAGCTTTACTGTAATCTCAGTGGCATATTATAATTTTTGTTCTATTTCAGGGCTGTTGGCTTGGTTGATCATTGTGTAGGGCTCTTTGCTTCATACCATCCAGGGCAGGAACAAGCACTGACTGAGTGTGTGTGGATTTAGTGTGAAAATAAATATTCATGAGCTGTACTCCAAACCATACCCGCTCTTGCAGCTGACTCTTGGAGTGAAAACAAAAGTGAAAATAGGAGTCATACCATCTAAGGCCACAGAAGCTTATCAGATACTGCAGAGTGATTGCTTGTAAAAAAAATGGGCTTTTTCTTTTCCCCTTCCAGAAACGCTGTGACCCTACAGCCACATCTTTTTAGCGAGCCCTGCCATAGAAATAACGAAGGTGGGCTGGCATGAGGGTTAAGGGGGGAGAGGAGAGGTTTATAGTTGTAGAATGTCACTTCTTTTTCAGTACTTCCAGTACAACTGCCAGTCATTTTTTGAACATTGTGATGTGTTTGGTTAGTACTGTCAATATTTCCTTCTCAGGTCTTGAGTAATCAAAAAAACAATTGCAACTGTTTAGTTATGTGGTATGTTCATTAGGCTCCAGTTTTAAACAAGCATATTAACAAAGTCATTGTTTTTTTCTCTATCTTTTCACTAGTTTTCTGAAGAGATTCACTATGTTGGTGTACCAGGGAATAGGGTAACCCTCAGCTGTGTCCTCGATATGTGAGCAGCTTGGCCACATTCAGAATCTAGCAATCCCTTGGAATTAAATATTGCCAGGAAGCCAGGAAGGGACTGAGAAATGGGATGACATAAACTTACTGCCAGATGATACAGACCACTTTAGTAGCTGCATGCTAGACAAGCTGTCAGAAACATAGCTGCAGTCAAAAACACAGCCATGTAAACACATATATGTTATATATAGATATATACATAAATATATAAACTAAAGAGCTGCCATAAAAAAATTGCATACAATTCTGAGGTCCTTTATTTCCTCAGTCTTATTCTCCAGGGAAAATAGGAAATAAGCATAAAAATGGAAGTCTTTCTCTTATTCCCAGCACATGTAATAATCTCAAATATTTGGAGCATTTTCTATGCTACCGGCCTGCTGATCTTCAGGACGTGCTGCATACACGGTACAGATTTTTAGGACGGCTGACAGCAAAGCACTAACAGGGGTTTGAGAGGAAAGTAAAGCGAGTGGGGTTTGGTTTTT